CATATTGCTCAATCAGTCTTGAATCAGCAGACACAAAACTATAGCCAGTAGGGCCACTGCATTTCTGAAGGCTTTTGTCAGTATTCAACTCCAAATTCTCATAAAATAGGTTTGGCAAATGTATCAATGAATTATGTGATCGATAATTCACTGACAATTTAGTGACATAACTTGCTGCCACTTGTCCTATCTTTTTGTATCTCATCAACAAACGCTCCAGTAAGGAAATATTGAGCCCAAACATTCTGGCCTCTTTCCCCAATACCAGTATGTTAGGACCAACCTGTAACAAAGTAACATAATATGGAAGCACAAAAATGATCTACCTGCTTGTTGTCACCTGCCAAAACTATTTTAGCATCTTTAGTAGCTAGAGCAAGTGGTGTGATAGCTTCAGGTTCACGAACTTGAGCTGCTTCATCGAGAAAAAGGTGTGTGAAGAAACCTTCAGGAGAGCAGAGATATTGGTGGAGTTTTAGAGATGTGGTATATGTTGTGATGATAATGACATGACTCATTGAGCATATTTCAGCACTTCTCTCAGCAAAATATTCAGGTGTCATGTACATGTGAGCATAAACACCCCTATTTTTCTGTCTAGAAATTAGAAAAATTTTAAAAGGAAGATAATATATCTTCCCAAAATAAGCAAAAATGAAGGTTTTAATCGACATTTCGTGGTGAGCAGAAATCAATACTCTGGTACACCTTTTCTGACTAACACCATTCATCATTACTTCATATGCAGCACGAGCAAGGATTCGAGTCTTACCAGTACCAAATGGACCATAGAGAATGACAGGAGGAGCAGGTTTGCCAGTAGATGGAGATTCAGAAACAATCATTTTTAGAGCTTTTACTTGGTGCTTTTTATCTAGCTCCATAAAACGACATTTAGAATATCGAGGGTCAAATGTAAGAAACTGGTCACCAAAAGAAAAAACATCAGGCAACAGACACTTGAGAACATACTCAGGAGCCTTGACGATAGCATGATGAAGGTGGTCAAAATATGAATACTTGACTATAAACTGAGCAGAGACACTTATCTCACTCCCTTCGTCAACTTTGGTGCCACTCTTTATTGCTTGAAACAAACTGTGAGATGGATTATCAGCAACTATATACATGCGATTTTCAAGGCAACTGAAGTTGTAACGATGCTTGAACGCTATGCATAAACATGCCGAGCTATCTGGCTGTGATATTGCGACATTATCACTTGCTTGTGTAGCGTATTCAATCTTATCATCAGTTAAGCCAGAAAGATGACCATAAAGACATTCTCGATTATGATTTTGAACAAGAAAACGAGGGACTTTGTCCTGATCATATACTACAAACTTGTAATCTACACCATCACACCTATCAAATAAAACTATGACACAACATTTTGTAGCTATTTTACTTACTTTTTAGACAGCTTTTTGATATGTTCATCTTCTTCAAGCCACAGTGCACGATAAAAATGCACCTGATAATTATTAGGTGTTAAGTCATTTAAATGGTGTCGCAATATTGATGATGTAGGTGGAGATTTTTGCCTTTCATCGAATTTGGCTTGCCATGGGACTGGTGTTCTTTGTGGGACTGGTATTCTTTGCCTTTGTATAGAGGCACTGCTGGATGGTGGTGTTAACTTTTGATCTCGAGGTTTTGATTTTGAAATATGCTTTTCATATGATCTTGGTCTCTGATCTGGTCTTGAACTTTTATCTAATTGTTTTTTATCTGCTCTTGTATCCTGAATACAATCAGATGATTCTATATATGTGTACAAAAATTAATCAAATTATTTTAATCCTTTATTAAATTACTTTTGGGTTGTTCAATCCTAATTCTAGACAGATATTGTAGAATACCATCAATGGATGGATCATCCTCATCAGCTGAGTTATACAACCCATAAATTATATCTTCAAAGCGAACTTTTTTAATAATCAAATGTTCCAGCAGCTTCTTTTTCCTTCCTAGTTTGTTTCCCCCCACTTCTTTTATGTGATCTAGTGTGCTTTCTTCCACTTTCATGTTTTTTCCAAAAGTGTACCAATCCTTCCCAATCTGCTCTGCCACTGAATCAACATCTTCTTGTCTCAAATTCACTTGAAGATCAGGAACATGAAGACCTTTTGATTCCACCTTAGTTTTCATTCTTGTCAGAAAATCTAAACAAAAATGACACACATGTGCAGATTTTTGATACATACTTTCTTTCATTTCATATTCTAGTTGTATTTCCTGCTCCAGCCTTTCTTCCTTTTCTCGCTCTTCCTGTTCCCGCTGCGCTTTCTCCTGCTGCCTTTTTATCTCAATTATATCTGAAAGATAATAATTTCTTATATAAACATAAGCATACTGTACTGTTAAAAGAAAGGATAATTTAAACATTGTGTTAATAAATAAAGGCCCCATAGGCAGCATGTTGCTAGCAACATTTGTGATTACTTTAATCTTGTAAGCAACATGTTGCCAGCTTTCTATTTCTGGCTTAAAAGATCAAAGTAACAACTAGCAATATGTTGCCTGCTGTATGTTGGGCTTTAAAGTATAAACCCTATAGAATCTAGAGCTTCACAGTCACATAATGGCAAATGGAGATCTTATCCACTATTTTTTCAGAAAACACTCAACAAATGAGTGTATCTAATTAACAATTACATCATTAAAGTGTAAGTGCTAAAACTCACTTTCTTTCAAACAGTCTAGGGCTTGGTCAGCCAATTCAATTCTTTCAGCATCATGTAAACCAAATATAAGATTATAATATGTGGCATCATCTCCATTCTTCTGTTTCCATTTGTATAACAACTCCATTCTTTTCTCTTCAATGGAGCTGTTATCATCTTTAATGGCCTGAATATCATAACGTGTGAGTTCCAAGGAATAACCAACTAGCTTCCAGTTATCTAGACTTCTACTCAGTTTGCGTAGCACACTCTCACTACACTGATGGAACTTTAGATTGTCAATTGTAAGTCCTTTTGTATCTAAACGATCCTTCAGGTATGCCTCTATAAATAATAATAAGTAGCAAGTAGTCATAATCAATTAGCAAGTAAATTCTTACCAAAGGTAACTGGGCTGGGGTCAGTCACAGGTCCTGCCATTACTATCTTGTTCAAACACTGACAAACACAACAGTGCTATAATACCTTATAAGGTAATAATACTAAGGTCTTGTGCCTAGCATGTGATTCATCATAAATGAATATCATAACTAGGCGGTTCAAGCTGTACATATACATGTATTGATAACTATTCCTATGTATAGTACCTTTCTAATGTCCCACAATTACCTCATTTGAAGGCTTTCCCTACCAAACAAAGAAAAAGAAGTCCTATAATTACTATCAATAGTCAGCAATCAATAGCTTACTATTTTAAGTGCCAACTCAGCTCCCTGACCATATATGGCATTATTGGAATGCATACACTACAACTCATTGTGGGCTACAGTATTTTTATTTAACAACACAATAATTTCTTGTGTAAATACACACTTACACATAAATGCAGCTCACACACACAAAGAGATAGAAGATATCATATTGATAGTTTATTCAAATTATTTGAGAGATACATGTAGCTAAGAAAGCATTTTTAAAAAAGGTGTCAGTGTCTTTAAAGCTTCTGAATATTTTTCTGATTTATCAAGTTCCACAGCTCTTTTCGATAAATCTTTAGCTGCCTCCATGCTTGAGGCTTGTATAGCATCTATGCTTGAGGGAAGGTGTGGCTGTGATTAATGTTAGATACCGGTATACATTAGTCAAAAAATTAATTATATTTTAAAGTGATACATAATGTGCCACTAAAAATAATTATTCCTAACAATCATTCTTGGTTAAAAGCCACCATCACTATTTGACCTTCTCCATATTAGGATCAGAGACTTCAGTTTTTTTTCTACAATTATAAAAATTATTAGACCTATAACCTACTATGTAATATGCAAACTCACCTTTTAAACATAGATAGATCTATATGATGGTAAAATGTTCCTAATTCAGTACATAATTTCAAATATTTATGCCAGCATTTTGTAGCATTGCCACCACGGTCAGGATGAGAGAGTGTGTCAAGCTCAAACTGCTTAACTTCTTCTGGACTTCCAATTGCAACCACATGAAACTTGGCCCTTGTTATGACAGTATTAAAGACATAAGGATTGAAGAGGCTCTTAACATAGGAGGCATTCATTTCATCATCTCCTACTAGCTCAAACAAGCTTAAAAAAATAGCTTGAAACTCATAACCTATTCATAAGAGAGACATATTAATAGTCTAGATATACATATAGTCTATAGCTCTCACCTTGTATCATAAAAGAAGGCCTAAAGCTAACTTTTTTCACTATCTCATATTCTTTGTATCTAAAAGCCATTGTTTTGATGTGATTTAACTGCATGAATGTGTATTTAAAGAAAGGCAAAATATTTTTATAATCAGTACTATTACTGAGATCTAGATTTAGTTTACTCTATACCTGCTTCCTTGTTGATGTGATAATACAAACACCATGTCGAGGATTAAAGTTGGGATTGATATGCTTCATTCTTTCCAAGTAACTTCGAACCTCTTCCAAGACAATGCATGCCTCAACCCATTGCTGATCTGGATCATCAAATTGCTCAATCAGTCTTGAGTCAGCAGACACAAAACTGTAGCCAGTAGGGCTACTGCATTTCTGAAGGCTCTTGTCAGGATTTATCTCCAAATTCTCATAAAATAGGTTTGGCAAATCTATCAATGAATTATGTGATCGATAATTTACTGACAATTTAGTGACATAACGTGTTGCCACCGAACCAATGTCTTCATATCTTTTCAACAAACGCTCCAGTAAGGAAATATTGAGCCCAAACTTTTTGGCTTCTTCTCCCAGTACCAATATATTAGGGCCAACCTGTAAAGAAAAAAATTAACTTAATCTAAAACCACAAAATAATTTAGGTATGTACCTGCCGATGGTCGCCTGCCAAAACTATTTTAGCATCTCTGGTGGCTAGAGCAAGTGGTATGATAGCTTCAGGCTCACGAACCTGAGCTGCTTCATCAAGAAAAAGGTGTGTGAAGAATCCTTCAGGAGAGTAGAGATATTGGTGGAGTTTCAGGGACATGGTGTATGTAGTGATTATGATGACATGAGGCATTGTGCATATATAAGCACTTTTCTTGGAAAATTCATCTGTTGTCATGTACATGTCAGCATAAACTCCTTTATTTTCTTGTCTAGAAATTAGAATGACTTCAAAAGGAAGGTGATATTTTCTTCCAATCACACCAAAGTAAGCGAAAATGAAGGTTGTTATTGATATTTCGTGGTGAGCAGAAATCAATATTCTGGTACATTTATTCTTATTGACACCATTCATCATCACTTCAAAGGCAGCACGAGCGAGGATTCGAGTCTTACCAGTGCCATATGGACCATAAAGAATGACAGGAGGATGAGGTTTGCACATAGATGAAGACTCAGACACAATCATCTGTAGAGCTTTTAACTGAAGCTTATCATCTAGTTTTATACAACGAAAATCAGAATGTCGAGGATCAAACGTAAGGAACAGCTGACCAAAAGAAAAAACTTCAGGCAACAAACAAGGAAGAACATGCTCAGGAGCCTTGATAACAGCATTGTGAAGTTGATTAAAATAGAAATACTTTACTGTAAACTGAGCAGAGATACTAATCTCATTCCCTCCTTCAACTGCTGTACCATACTTCATTGCTTCAAGCAATTCAGGAGAATCAGGAGCAACTATATACATGCGATTTTCGAGGTGATCGAAGTTGTAGTTATGCTTGAATGCTACACATATATCAGAACCATCTGGCTTTAATATTGTGACATCGTCACTTGCTTGAGTAGCATATTCAATCTTATCATCGGATAAGCCAGAAATATAGCCATAATAATAATCATCACTTTGATCAAAAAAAGAGGGAACTTTCTCGTGATGATATATTGTAAGCTTACCTGCACCATCACACCTGACAAAAACAAATCATAATTACCCAGTATTTATTTTACATACTTAGTCGATAGCTTCTTGATATGTTCATCCTCTTCAAACCACAATGCACTATAAAAATGCTCCCTGTAATTATGAGGCTTCAAGTCACTTAGACTTCGTGTTATTAAATTAGGCTGGACTTCTCGTCTCTCCTCAAACTTTGCTTGCCACGGGTTTCTTTGTCTGAAGATGCCTGATGCAGCATTGCTGGATGGACTTAATGGTGTTGGCGGTGCTGGATCCTGATATTGGGGGCGTAGCTTTGGATGTGATTTTAAACTCTGATTTTGCTCTTCTTTTTCATCAAGTTTTGAATTTTTATCATGCTTCTCATCTGCTCTTGGATTCTGACCATCTATAAGTAAAAATAATTACACTAATTTCACTTTTACAATTTTACCTTTTTTAATCCTAATTCTGAATATATATTCTAGAACACCATTAATAGCTGGATTGTGCTCATCAGCTGAATTGTATAGCCCATATATTATATCTTCAAAGCGAACTTTTTTAATAATCAAATGTTCCAAAAGCTTCTTCTTCCTTCCTGGTTTGTTTCTCCCCACTTCTTTAATATGATCCAGTGTGCTCTCCTCAACTTTCATACATTTACCAAATGTATACCAATCCTTCCCAATGAGCTCTGCTACTGACTCAATGTCTTCTTGTCTCAGATTCACTTGAAGATCAGGAACATCAAGGCCTTTTGATAACACCTTACTTTTTATCCTGGTCAGAAAATCTAAAAGGGAATGATACACATAATTATATACATGTAGATACATTAATACATACTTTCTTTCATTTTATATTCTAATTCTATTTCCTGCTGCTGCTTTTCTTTTAGTTGTTCTTCCTTTTCTTGCCGTGCTATTTCCTGCTGCCGCTTTTCTTTTAGTCGCTCTTCTTCTTGCTGTGCTATTTCCTGCTGCCTCCTTTCTTCCTTTTGTCGTTCTTCCTCTTTCCGCCATGCTATTTCCTGCTGCCTCCTTTCTTCCTTTTGTCGTTCTTCCTCTTTCTGCCGTGCTATTTCCTGCTGCCTCCTTTCTTCCTTTTGTCGTTCTTCCTCTTTTCGCCGTGCTATTTCCTGCTGCCTTCTTATCTCAATTATACCTGAAAGAATATCTGAATTATGATTGATTAAGCTACTTGCATTCAAATAAATGAATGACAAGACAAAAAAGGATCAACATCAAATATGGGTGTACCATGTACCATTCACATATGTGTTACATAATACCTAAAGGTGTTGTAAAGTATGAAAACTCACTTTCTTTCAAATAGTCTAGTGCTTGGTCAGCAATATCAATTCTGTTAGCATCATGTAAACCAGATATAAGATTGTAATATGTGGCATCATCTCCATTCTTTTGTTTCCACTTATTTAAAAGTGCCACTCTTCTACTTTCTTCAGAGCTATTATTAACTTTGATGGCCTTGACTTCAGGAAGTGTAATTTCCAAGTACAACCCAGCAGTGTCCCAGTTATCTAAATCTTCACTCAGTTTGAGTAGGACAATATTAGTACACTGATGAGCTCTTAAGTCATCAAATGTAAGTCCCCTTGTGTCTAGATGATCTTTGAAGTCTGTCTCTATAAAATTAATCAATAATTAACACACCCTATTATCAAAACACTTACCAAAGCTGAGGTTTGTCCCAGCCACTGCCATCTTATTCAAACACAGTGCTACCTTATAAGGCAATGGTACAA